TTAACGCACCCTTTTCTCGTCTACTAGAAACTTTAGTGAAAGTCTTTTACATAGGTAGGTAATGCCACTGGAAAAATATCCTCAAAAAAAAAAGGTCTGAAGTTGTGGCCGTCGCCACTGATTCATCGTAGCAAAAACATATTATAATATCGCCTATACAAATATAAATAATAATGTTTATGGTTTTTTTTTTCACATTGTCCGCACCGCGCAGTCATATCCGGCTTACCGTTTCGAGTACGGCGTCCACGACCCACAAACCGGTGACATAAAAAAACAGTACGAAGAACGAGACGGGGACACGGTGCGCGGCTACTACAGTCTGGTGGAACCAGATGGTTCGATTAGGCTGGTCGAGTACACGGCTGACGCAAAAAACGGTTTCCAGGCCATAGTTAAGAAGATAGGAAGTTCGCATCACCCGAACACAGTGACCCATCATCTCAACACCGCTAACGACCACCACAGCGGCGACGGTGGTTACGCGCCCAACTACCAYGGCGGTGATCAGGACTATCACCACCATCTGCAGCAGCCGTCGTTGCCGACCGTCAACGACGATCATCAGTACGAACTGCCCGTTTACTCGAATCACTACGAACCGCCGCAACCACCCGCTTACGACGGTCACTACGAATCACCTGCGCACGGCTACGACAATCATGAGTATCACCATCAGCAGCAGCAACTGCCGCCGTCCGCTTACAATCACTACGAACCGCCGCTGGAGCCCGCCGTGCATAATCACTTCCAACACCCGCAGTCGCACGGCGCGTCTTACGATCACTACAAACCACCGCTGCAGGTGGTAGTGCCGGCCGGTCACGGCGATCATCACTTCGAACCGCCGGCGGCGCATCCGGAACCGGCAGACTTCGAACACGGTTCGCCGCTTCCGCCGCTCTTCGCCGCCGGTCTGCCCACCGCTCACGGCGACTACGGCAGCGCGTCACCGGAAGAATACTATTCCGCGCCCCTGCAGTTTCCGGTAACGTCCCACGAGTCTCACTTCGAGTGGCCCGCCAAGAGCGGTAGCGACGACGTCGACGACGACGGCCACGACGTCAATGACCCACACCATCGCGGTCATCTGCAGGACGAATACCAATTTCCAGCAGTCAACGAGCATAGTCATCTGCAGGGTGCCGCGGCCAAAGTTGCTTCAGGCGAACGGCCCGAGTATCTGAGGAAGTATTTCGAACCCAACTACCGAGGCCATGTCGCTGCCGTCAACAGTTTTTACGACGACGACGAATGAAGTAATGTATTTACGTGTAGGTTTGTGCGTATAGTATAACATAATATAAGACGAGCTCACAATTTACCTGCATTACGATGTACGTGTGTGGTACGACAATAAAATGACAATGGTTAAATGCACACATTTATTGATTTATAGGAAACCTCATTTGATGTTTTGTATGAATTTAATATATTTTTATTTCAAAATTTGTATAATATAGGTAATTTAAAAAAAAAAAACTGCTTGTGGAGAAACGGATTACAATACAATTAAATTAAATTAAAATTTCACCTAATACCTACTGCACATAATTGTGCTTAACCGTCGAAATTATAATTACCTACAGTAATCGTCAAAAATTATATACATTATTTAATATGTTTTTGCTCGATTTAATAATTTCTTCTTGTTTCAAAACCGTTGAATAATAATTCATCGCCACTCCGATACGACTGTCTACCAGTACGTTTTATACGATTCGTATTTAAAGCATATACTAATAACGCTGTGTCCTACGTAAACGCGACGAACGCGGCGAGTGCGAACGAATTCTATCCTGACCATGCTGTTCCTTTTTCGCGTCGCGACGCGATSCGACGAAATACAAGCTGTTTTGTTTTTTGCCGCGTTCACGTAGGACACAGCATAAGTACAACAATAATCGAACGCCTAAAATAAAAATATATTATTATTCTAATCTTTGGGCACACACCTTCTACTTGCTAGTTTATTTTTCATTACATTTTTAAAAATAATTCCAATGGGTAATTTATTATTCAATTAAAATGTATTATAAAATTTCTTCCAAATAGTTTTCTAAAACTTGCTTCATAAGAATCGAGATATTAGTTTATGTTATACGCAATAAATATGTAAATCTAAAAATATTGAGTTGCGAGCTTGTATGATTCTTCATTACTTTGATACCTAGTAAAATTCCTCTGATAATATGCAGTTTAAGTTTTCAAACATTTTCGGTGATTATTCTGGTTTACTCTGCCATACAAATATAAATTATTTCTAAATATATTAAGCTAGTACGTACAATTCCACAGTACCTAATAATCGTAAAGGATTTTATTTATCTAGTTATTATGTTGTGACATGAAGTAAAAATAAACATTTTCTTTCAATCGATTATGAAAAATAGCCAACCAATAATCCGTAAAAATATTTAAAAAATAAAAATAGACGTTTAAATGAGAAGACACATTATTTAGATGTTATGTATAAATCTATAATATATATTAAAGCAGTATTAACTATTAAGTAAATAATTCAATCAAGTTAGATTTAGGTGAATAAAAAACAAAGAAAAAATATTCTGGAGGAGAGCAATCGCCACGGTGTTAATTTCTTATTTTTTTTTTTGAAAATTGATGCCTGTTTGTCCTATTCTCTAGATCTCATGTTTTATGTATTATTCAAATCGAAGAAAATGTTATATAAATACATTATACATCATTTTTTCAAAAATCTATACAATCCAAAGTAGAGTTAAAACACCTGAAATTTAAAATATTACTTAGTTAGTAATTAATTGTAATTTTATAAATTTTTATTGTGCTCAACATTTGTTTAATTAATTTTGACTATATTCACTCATTGGAAAACTGACACTAGTACACTACTAATATATTACTTAGGTCTATTTTACCACAATTTATTAAAATTTCTTGCTAAATACAATGACTGTTAAGTTTTAGGGTATTATATAGGTATTAATRAAATTTTCATGAGAAAAAAACTATTATTTACGAAAAACGATACTGAATTAACAGTCTGAACATAAAAAAAATATTATAATTTAATCTAGTGACGGAGACAAGTCACCTAGTATCTAAATGTGCATTCTAATGTTAAAAAATGTGTGATACAGTAATTATTGTAATTAATTTATTGAAACTGCAACTAAACGATTCTACATASCTAATAATATCATAGACAAACTTTTACTCGTAATAAATTGAGTAACATTTTTGGCATTTGCTATAAACTGTTTATAAAATTTATTAATATAATAAGTATTCTACAATTTACTGCCTATTGTAAGTCGCAGCGTTAAATAAAACATTCCATTTAAATATTTAATACGCTAAACATATTATATTATTATAATTGTAAGTTTTAACTCGTGTACATTTTAAATGTTTATAACAAGAATGTGATAGTGTTATTAACACTATAAAATACGTATATAAATTATACATTCAATTATCATAGGTGTTACAATTTATATTGGCATGATAAAAAGTTGACCATAATGTAAGGTCTTGTCCTGCTATATTATTAAATATTACTTTTATTTTATTATTTTTTTATTTTAATCATAATATTATGTTCAAGACATCGATAACGTAGATAATATATTATAATATTATATTATTATTATGTACATATGAAACTATAAATAGTATAATATCATAATTATGTTCTAGGCGTATTAGTTATTATTACTCCAGGACGGTTGTTTGTTTTTTTATTATATTATTATTGTTACTTTTATTTTMAATACCTACCTATATGTATTACGATTACCTTAAATAATAAACAGTTTTTCTATGTATATATTATTAGTATTCTTGTACACGTTATTTATATAATATTTTTCAAATAATTTATAGATATAGATAAAAATGTTATTGGAACCAGCCCAGATAGGCACCTTTAATTATAAATAATATAAATCCTCTACCTAGGTACCTACTTAGGCTACCTATTTAACAGTTCAACTACCTTTCTTAGTTAATTTATAGTATTTATACGTAATGAGGTCAACCCGACCACATTAAATTATTAATCACATAAAATATTTTTGCCGTTCCCAATATGACAATGATTACTGCAAATACTTGTCAATAGTGTAGACGAAATGATAAATGTATAATAACTACCTAATAATACCATGTCCAATTTCAATTATTATAATAATTATAATGATTTGTTTGTGGGATTATAGATTTTTTTTATTGGTACAATGAATGTATTCAACAATATTTTTTTGTCCACAGCGTGACATTAAAAGGAAAATTTAATTATATTAATCCGTTTGTCGAATGAATAGTTGAACTATTCAACATTTGAATACATCATCACTATACATATAGGTATCTATACTGTGATACTCATTACTCAATATGAGTGGAAATCAGGTAGGTATTGAAAGCGTAATTACCTATAATACCCRTATTGAGTATAAAGGATTGATGTTTTCTAAAAATAGCTTTATTTGATCCGTAATTCAAATTTCAAACAACAATAATATTAATACGAATTCTTTAAGTTTCCATAACCGATTGAACCTTATGAGTTATGGCTTACACGCTAATTATAAATTCACAGTTCATCCGTGAAATAAATAAATAAAAAGCGGGAAAGTGGATATCGCTCTTCTGTAGGTTACAAGTGGGTTACTGTAATGGATGGAATTAAATTTGAATCCAATGATATTATATCATTGTACACGAAAAACGTTTCTAAGCGAAGACGGTTTATCTGTCTAGCAGGATATATTATAGATTATTATTACTTATTAGTTATTATTAATACTAATTAAAATATTTGACTTTCCGGTGGACTTTTTTTTTTTTTATGAAGGTAGACAAACTTATAAGGAATCTTAAATTACATTTTTAAAACGAAAATTTTTTATGAATTTCTAGCTTAAAATAATTTGCGAATTTTCGTGACTTTTACGTATTTTTTCTAGACAATTCAAAGCTTTGAACGCGAACGCTTGTAAAAAAAATTGTGACTATACTGTATTTCTTTTATTTTTCAACTGATATCATAATAATATGTTAGGACTTTAGAAGCCTTGTATTACATTTTCAAGATTTTCTACCGAACAAAATACATTTTTATCGATATTAATTTTAAAAAAACTAATAATGATTGAAAATTGCGTATGCCTATAAATAGTTCAACTTAAGTCAAAAATATTGAAAATTGCATGGTGGATAGAATATATTTATTTAAACATTCGGTGAAAATGGCATGTATCTATGGTCATTTGTCTTAAAGTTACATCAAAAACCGAAATCGATTTTGTCGAAAATTGATTGTGCGTAAAAATTCCCGTTTTTTCTTTAATTTTTAGTTTGTTTATCCCGATTATTTAGAAAAATATTGAGAATTTTTTACTTTTTAGTATTATAATAGTGGTTCCTATTTAAAAAAATTTTATTTTACTGCGTATGCGCTGATAAAAATAATTAAAAATTAGAATTTATCAAAAACAGATGTATTTATAAGTCTTATTTGCAGTATAAAAACCCCGAATCAAATTCAAGGTCACGCGATCGAAATATTTCCTGTTRCCTTTGAAATTGAACACGCACGGTATACAACCTCTACACCTGATACCTAATTTACAGATTCAGGCCAGTGATCACCTTGAGATGCCTGTGAAGTCTTTTTAAAACACTAGTTGTCGGTGATAGATTATGTACGCACAGTGCAGGCCAACAAATTTCGCTTTTGGCGCCCAGAGGATGCACGCGTCCAGAATGCAATTGCAGCGTGAGCCAGTCTTATATATGGGTTGATCAAAGGACAGGTCATATGTATATTATACACGCAAGTTATGTGAAGTCTATAAGGTGAAGCTACTGGTAAAGAATCTTAATAATATAGCGCCTGATAGCTTCGCGATAGTAGACAGCGTTGTACAAGTGAAATAAAGTACATTCATTATTATTACAGTCTTATACGACACGGCCATAAATAGACCTATAAAAGACGTACGAGGTAGGTAGGTACAGAACAACGGTCTGCGTGCATAATATACATTCATATGATCTAATAAGCTCTAAGGTGTATACTCTGTAATCTGTAGTCTGTTCGGCGAGAGAACAAGCCAATTCTGCAAATACCAACACGCGGTCAATCTGCAATCGCAAACGGTTTCCCTACGACAGGGTGCCGCGTGGGGATGCGCAGAAGAACCTATTTTCATCGGTCCGTGGAGTGTTCCTCGTTGAACAGAGTAAAGTATAATTTTTTTTTTTTTTATAAACACTGATAGTAGTAAGTAATAAATATAAAAAAGTAACTATAAGTATAGGAAGTTAAAAAATAATAAATAATAAATAGTATTGATCACATCATAAACTCAGATCTAAAACTCTATAAGACCAACCACGTTACAGGAATTTCTTTATTCGTGCTTTATACACGAGGGGGCATGTTGTACGATATAAGACCTTAGATCATAATGCGCAGACTAATCACTAAGCATTAAATGAAACTTCCAATAGAATCCACCACTAATAAACAAATTTGTCTTCATTAGCAAATCGAATTAATGTTAGTGATCTAACAGTATAAGTTTAATCGAAATCAACAAATTGCTAGACTCTTCAAAACTTTTTCTTTCAAAAAGCCATAATAAAAAATTAAAAAAGACACCTGGGATCTGGATCTCTTTGTATTTTATATTATTGTCATTGGTGATATAGAAATAAAATACAACAAAATATGCCAAAGTAATATAACAGTAGTTAATAATAATAATAAATACTCATTATTGTGATATTAATTTGTTGAATTTGTTTAAAAATATTGTATTTAGACTTCTTCTGTTTTTGTCCATTCTAAATTGATAATGAACCATAATATGCGTGKCAATTGACAATATATAAAATTAGATCAGTTCCTTCCCCTTCCAAAAATATTTTAAGTTGTTCCTGAACGTGACTTGCATTTGCACGCYAAATATTAATGCCTTAATTGATAATATAAATTATTGCTTTTTTCATTTAATATACTGTACCAACTATRTTGGTCGATCAGTGAATACTGGATAGTGATGTATTGTTGTGAACATTAAATCAAAGATATACCATTTAAAAAAATGTATCACCAGAATGTGCGTATTTTAATTACAATTTTTTATAGMACATTGATAATATTTTTTTAATGATTGACTAATGACTTAATGTCAGGTTGAACTAATATTTTGGACATGAAATTAAAAAAAATTTATTTTTGGTAGGTATCTGGTTTGCTTTTTCAATCCATTWAGTCAAAACTAGTGTAGTTATGTCACCTAAGATAAGTACGAAGTACTTATCAAAAGCAAATATAATAACTCCATGAATATCAGGAAAATCATACTGCATGTTAATGTAATTTTACCTACTCGCTGGCTAATAACCATGTAGTTGATGCCATAAACAATTAATAAAAAAAAAAATTTTACCTACAACCTACCTGTTAGGTAGTAACTTAACACAAATTACAAATTACCTTAATTTATAAAAAGATATAATTTTGCAGTAACACTTAGTAATTTCTTTATATTTTATTAAAATTACTGCAATTGCAATTTTGATTTGTTGAGGTTAAAAATTAAAATTTCAATTCAATATTTACGAAAGAAGAATGGGAAATTAATGGAAATATATCAAATACTTAGTTTATTCATTAATAATAATAAACTAATAAATAGAATAAATATAAGCTTTTTAAATTAAATAATGTAGATTATTAGTGAGTAAATTATAATTGAAATCTGTAGTATAAAAAGTTTTTCATTCATTTTTTTTCTTTTTTTTGTGTTTCTTTGATTTTCTTTTTGAAATTTCATCAGAACCGGAACTCTAAAAACAGATAATTTTTTGTGAAACAGTACAATTGAATTAAATTTCWAACTCGTTAATTTTTTAGTACAAAGTCAAAAAGAGATAGGTCAGATTTTAAAAATTAAATCTGAAAAAGTTTACCTATAACGAGTTTATCCTTAATCAGATTTTATTAAAACTTCACACGTGTTGTCTCAACCTTACAAATGTAAAACATGGCAAAAACTTTTTTTCTTATAGATAAGAACCATTCAGACTGTAGTCTAAACCAGCGGTTCCCAAACTGTGAGGCGCGCCTCCCTTGGGAGGCGCAAGCTTTTGGCAGGGGAGGCGCGAGCCGCGTGGTAAATATTGATATTTTTAAATCAACAATAATTTTGTTGAAATGTCATAACTATTCCAAACAAATATTTCATACTGATGAAAAAAAA